ACTTGTGTTTTATTGACTATGCAAAGGCATTTGATTGTGTGGATCATGACAAATTATGGATAACATTGAGAAGAATGGGAATTTCCAAACACTTGATTGTACTCATGAGGAACCTGTACCTTGACCAGGAGCCTGTCGTTCAAATGGAAAAAGGGAACACTGCATGGTTTAAAATCAAGAAGGGAGTGCATCAGGGTTGTATCCTTTCCCCACACTTATTCAATCTATGTTGTTGTTGTTGTTATGTACCGTTGAGTCAGCCCCGACTCATAGCGACCCCTCCTTGGGTTTCCGAGGCAGTATCACTACGGAAGTAGGATTGCCCAACCATATGCTGAGCAAATAATCCGAGAAGCTGGACTATATGAAGAAAAATGTGGCATCAGGATTGGAGGAAGAATCATTGACAACCTGAGATACGCAGATGATACAGCTTTGCTTGCTGAAAGTGAGGATGACTTGAGGCACTTAACTGATGAAGGTTGAAGAATACAATCTGCAGTATGGATTACATCTCAATATAAAGAAAACAAAAATCCTCACGACTGGACCAATGAACAGCATCACAGTGAAGAGAAGATTGAGGTTGTCAAAGAATTCACATTGCTTGGTTCTACAATCAATGCCAATGGAAGCAGCATTCAGGACATTAGATGATGCGTAGCATTGGGAAGGTCAACAGTGAAGGAACTGTTTCAAGTGCTGAGGAGCAAGGATGTCTCCTTGAGGCCTTGAGGACTAAGGTACGCCTGACAGAAGCCATGATATTTCTCCAGTTGCCTCGTATGCATGTGAGAGCTGGACAGTGAATAAGGAAGACCGAAGAAGAGTTGATGCTTTTGAGTTGTGGTGCTGGCAGAGAATGCTGAAAGTACCATGGACTGCTGAAAGAACTAAGAGATCTGTCCTGGAGGAAGTGCACCCGAAATGCTCCTTGGAAGTGAGAATGGCCAGACTTTTTCTTACCTATTTTGGTCATGTCAAAAGGGACCATTCCCTGGAGAAGGATGTCATGCTTGGTAGGGGGGAGGGTCGAGGAAAGAGAGGAGGCCTTCAACGAGATGGATTAACATGGTGGCTGCGATGATGGGCTCAAGTATATGACAGGGATCATGGAGCTGGTGCGGGATTGGGCAGTGTTTCGTTCTGCTGTGCATGGAGTCGCTATGAGTCGGAAACGACTTGATGGCACCTAACAACAACAACATAGACACACATACACACATATACTCACATACACAAATTCAGAGAGTGTGAATATGTACCTTTTTATAATTTGAATTTGGATCCAAATAATGTCTATATATTGTGATTGATTTGTATATATAGAGTTTCCTATTATTTTTTAATGCTTGCAATTTTTGTTGAAGAAATAAATAAGTGGTTTGTCTTAAAGACTTTCTATATTTATTGATTACATCCCCTTAGATTCTTCCATCCCTTGTATTTTCCTCTAAATTAATGATCTAGAGGTTGATCAGGTACAGATTTGAATTTGGGGAGGGGTTGGTGGCTGGTTACTGAGAGGCTGGAGGTTCAAGTCCACCCAGTGGCTCCATGAGAGAAAGGCCTGTGATCTACTACCATGAAGATTACAGTTTAGGAAATGCTATTCTGATATAATGTGGTCACTGTGAGTGAAAGTTGATTCAGAGCACCTAACAAGAAGAAGGAGGGGCATAACTTCATCTTCCATGGTATATGCCTTCATCAGGAAGTATATAAGTTTGGTTAACTTCTTTTTATGATGTTATCAGCCAGTTGGAGTTTCTGGGTGGCACAAAGAGTTAAAATGCTCGACTACTAGTTCAAAGGCTGGCAGTTTGAACCCGCCTTGAAGACAAGCTTAGAGATCTACTTAACAAGATCTACTTCATCAAGGTTACAGCCTTAAAAACCCTAGGGAGCAGTTGTACTTTGCACACATGGAATTGCCATGAGTCAGAAACGATTTAACAGTAACTAACAACGTAGCCAATTAGATAATTAAAATTGTAATATTCTATCATTACTTCTTTGTGTGTTAGCTGCTATACTCATATAAACTCTTTGGTTGCACTGAGGTACAGATTAATCAGGAAAAGCGATGGGAATTTATTCACGTTATTTCTTGCCTTTGTTTTGTTAGGCACAGAAGCAAATACTATTCTCCATCTTCTGTCATACTTTACTCATTTGAAGCTGATTTGTCATTTAAAAAAAATTTTTTTTTTTTAATGAGTTAGTTATCAAAGGTTGATTTCTTATTTCCATATACTTGTCAGGAAAAGGCACAAATACTTCACAGATATTTGCTTGTGTTACTACCAACACTAGTTCTTATTATGGTTTTAAGAATTTTTCTCAATTAGTGTCTTGTGGGAAAATGATATTGCCTCCCATTTTTAGTTACTTGAAGTACAGGTAGTCTTCAACTCATGATATGTTAGAGTAATGACAAACTGTACTTATGACTGACTATTTTTATCTTGTAGTAATATGTATTACATAAAATATTGTACTGTGTAATTTACTGATCTGTCGTTTTTAGATATTTACTCATGGATGTCCAATGTTATGATTTACTGTTCATAACTGCTATATAGCAGGCTATGAAAACTTAAAAAGCAAAAAGGTATTTGACTTACATCAGAACCAGCTTACAACAGAGCTGTGAATTGAAGACTACCTGTAATCTTATAGAATGGCATTTGTTTTCAGAGAGAGTGGTCATATTTTTCTTGGTCATCTAGTATCAAATTAGCAAATGGGGCTAATTTGTCTTTTATTGTGAATATATATAATCTTCCCTCTGGAAGATGATTATAGCTCTGAAAATATACATATTGTGTCTGAAAGATGATTAGATAGATGATTTATAAATCTAAAATGTTGGAAGAAATTGTGTATTATTTCCTTTTAACTGTCTCACACAAATCAGTACAAGATAAATTTTTAAAAGGGCCATTACATTCTTGTTAATGCTGTGTGAGTTGGGCCAATTACTTAGATAACTTTAAAAACAATCTTTAGCACATGAATGAAATGATTTGTTGTTTCTAGATTTTAAAAATAACATATAGAAAATGTGCATTTCTGTTATAAGTTGATGTATGCATTACTGAAGATCTTAAGTCTTCTGCAGAAAAAGGAGTCGAATCGGACTCATAACAACCCCTCCTTGGGTTTCCAAGGCAGTATCACTGTGGAAGTAGATTGTCCAACCTTCTTCCCGAGGAATGGCTAGTGGGTTTGAACCACCAGCTGTCTGGTTAGCAGGCAAATGCCTTAGGCACTATGCTACTAGAGCTCCCAGTCTTCTCCAAAGTAATGTTAAAAATAAACATAGATGTTGGGGAAAGTAGTGTGGTGTGGATCTCTCAAAACCTATAGAGTTTGTAATCAGAGCTCTTATAAAAAAGAGTAGCAATTCTACTAACAGCGGTTGGTGCAGTTAAATTTTCATTGGCTTTTGGACCCAGAATCGTAGTCTAATTGTGTTTCCTTTTTCTAGGTGTAGGTCCTTGAAGATTTTTGCTTTTAAGAGATTAGTTTCCTCAGAATTAAAAATACAATCCAGTAATGGCCATTTTTATCACTCAAAAGAGAAAATAATTAAACATAAATATGAAGGGAAATGTCTTCAGCATCGTGATTTGCATTTGTAGCTCTTTCCCAGCTAGTTTAACATAGTAGAAATTATTAAAGTTTTTGATGCGGTAAAACAGCCAACAAAAAACCCCAAAACTGAACTCACTGGCATTGTGTCAATTCTAACTCATGGTGACCCTTTAGGACATTGTAAAACTGCCCCATTGGGTTTCCAAGGCTGTAAATATTTATGGAAGCAGATTGCCTCGTCTTTCTTTTGTCAAGCATCTGGTGGGTTCACAGCTGCCAACTTTTTGGTTAGTAGCTGAATGCTTTAACCACGATGCACCAGAGTTGCTTAAAACAGCCCTATTATGTATTAGAGAAGATGCTTAGCATTAGGTTTTTCTTCAGATAGCCATATGTTGCAAGGACTTTCTGTTTCCATTGTGAGAAAACTAGTTTAAAACATAAACATGTTGGGAAAAAATTGCAATTGACTGATCTGATTTCCATGTTAAACATACAGTTCTGTTATTATGATTTAATTTTATATTCATATAATTACTAACATTTTCTTTTTTCAGTTTTTGCAGTTTGATGAGTGTCAAATAGTCTTGACATTCTTTTATTATTTTTCTTACTAGTAATGATGCTGAACATCTTTTTGTATTTCATCATGTTTTTAGAAGTAAGAAAAAGATTAGATACTACTTATAGTTTCTTTTTACTCATTACTTAACAGATACAAATAGATTAAGATCTCATATTGAAGTATGAAACTAAGATCAGAAATCTAGTAAATCACCTGCTATAGCAAAGCTTCCTCCTACTTAAAAGCAAAAAGTTTCCTATACTTGAAAATATGATTTCATTATAATAAAGAAAAAGGAAGTATTGCATACTTAACATGAAAGTACTCAAACCATAAAGCCCTTGGAAAATTTCTCAGTGACCTACAGACTTTCCAGTTTAAATATTAGTATGACAAAGCAATTGTATGATAGGAATAATATACTGATATGTCTCTTTTTCTTCCCAGTGAACTTGAAGATGACTTACTTGGAGAAGATTTGCTATCTGGCAAAAAGGTAAGAAATATAGGTCTTCCTGAAACTGACAGTTAATTGTACTTAAAATATAGGGATATATCACAGGTGAGATGTGTTACTAGAATGTTGGATATAGGTTAAAATTTTGTAAATTGAATTATTTTTTAATCTCACATAATAAATCCTTTTAAGGAAATACCTTATTTCCTACTGTTTCCTAGGTGCTAAAGCTGTACTGGGGTTGTGACAGCACTGACATAAAACAACCCCTTGGCCTAAAGTAACTTAACAGTTGAACATTAATATTTTTGCATACCAAATCAGGATTTCACTTTTGGGGCACATTCTCAAGTATAACAGACATTCATATCAAATTGAAAGACTGAATCCTAAGCTAGAATTTTGTAAACCTTTTTGATCACATAAAAACTTTTAAAAATTTATCTTTAATATTTTTCTGTCGTTCATACATCCCACACACAATCACTACTCTGCCAGTATATTTTGAACATGAGAAATATATTAAAAGTAGAAATAATGTTGACATTAGGTGCCTTCAAGTCAGTTCTGACTCCTAGTGATCCTATGTATAACAGAATGAAACACTGCTTGGTCCTGTGCCATCCTCACAATTGTAGCTATGATTGAGCCCATTGTTGAAGCCATTGTATCAGTCTTTCTCATTGAGGATCTTCCTCTTTTTTCACTGACCCTCTACAGAGCATGAGGTCTTTATCCAGGGACTGGTCCCTCCTGATTACATGTCCAAAGTATGTGAGATGAAGTCCCTCCATCCTTGCTTGTAAGGAGCATTCTGGGTATATTCCTTCCACAACAGATTTCTTTGTTCTTCTAGCAGTTCATATTCTTTGCCAGTCATTATTCTTTGCCAACATCATAGTTCAAATGCATCACTTCTTCTTAGGTCTTCCTATTTATTATCCTGCTTTTGCATGCACACGAGGCTGTTGAAAATACTATGGCTTGGATCAGGCTCACATTAATCTTCAAAATAACATCTTTGCTTTTTAATACTTTAGAGCTCTTTTGTAGCAGATTTGCCTAGTGCAGTATGTTGTTTGATTTCTTGATTGCTGATCCCATGGGGATTGATCGTGGATCCAAGTAAGGAAAACCTGTACAACTTCAATCTTTTCTCCGTTTATCGTGAGTTGCTTTTTGGGCCAGTTGTGAGAAATTTTGTTTTTGTTTTATGTTGAGGTATAATCCATACTGCAGGCTGTAGTCTTGATCTTCATTAGTAAGCACTTCAAGTCTTTCTCACTTTCAGCAAGCAAGGTTGTATCATCTGGATGTCACAGGTTGTTAATGAGTCTTCTCCAATCCTGATGCTGTGTTTTTCAGTTGTTTTGATCGAAACAGTTGCAGGCCTTTGCATAATCAGTAAAACACATTTAAATATCTTTCTGGTATTCTCTGCTTTCCCTTGTTCTGTGTCCTCTTTTGAAAATCTGACTTGAATTTCTGTCAGTTTCCTGTCAATGGACCTGGAATGGCTTTTGAGTTATTTTTAGCAAAGTTTTACTTGCTTATGATATTAATGATATTGTTTGATAATTTCTGCATTCTGTTCAATCTCCTTTTTCAGGGGGGATAGGTACAAACTCGGACAGTATTCTGTTGCTATTCATCAGGTTTTCATTGGCCGATTTTTTCAGAAGTAGACCACCAAGTCCTTCTTCTTAGTCTGCCATAGTCTGGAAACTACTGAAACCTGTCCACCATGGGTGACTTTACTGCTGGCATTTGAATTATCAGTGGCATAGCTTCTCTCATCACAGCAACACGTGAGCTACCACAGTACGACAAACTGACAAACTGAGTGGTGGGTACACAAAATAGGAGATAAAAAGAAAATATAAATTTTAATTTTATTTATTAACAGTTTAGAACACTTAAATTCTCATTAAATATCAAGATAGTTCTTTATGTTTTGTTTTTAAGTCTTAAACTTTTGAATGGCATTTTACTATCGGTGATTTTTATAATCAAGCTCATACTTTTAGTTCAAGTTTATCAAGTAACATTAGTGATACAAATTTATTTTGGAGGGTTGTGATAAGTTCAAATCTTTTAGCTAATTTTCTTAACTATGGTAAGATTATCCTCTTTATCTAGTTTTGTAAGAGTTGATGAAGATCTCCTACTAGAATAAGTACTAGTTCTGCCATTTTCTTGTAACTTACTATGCATTATTATCATGTTCTCTAATACGTGAACTTCTTTGTGTGATTTTTTTTTTTTTTGTAAAACCACTTTTCCTTTCTGTGTTCTGCTTTTTATTGCCTATACATAGCCCTATACACTTACCCGAGCTTTTCCTCCTTTGCATGGTTCTGTCATCACCTATGACTGTACGAATGAGGTGGTTGTTTTTAGCTGCTGCAAGTTGGGCCCTGGCTCATGGCAACCCCATGTACAATGGAATCAGATCATTGTAATTTATAGGGTTTTCATTGTAGGCCTTTCTTCCTAATCTCTTTTAGTCTGGAAGCTCTACTGAAACCTGTTCAGCATCGTAGCAACAGACAGGCCTCCACTGTAGATGGTGGCTGCACTTGAGATACATTGGCCTGGAATTGAACCCTGGTCTCCAGCGTGGGAGCTCTGGTAGCGTAGTGCCTAAGGCACTTGACTGCTAACCAGAAGACTGGCGGTTCAAACCCAGCAGCCACTCCTCGGAAGGAAGATGTGGCAATCTACTTCTGTAGTGATACTGCCTTGGAAACCCAAGGAGGGGTCACTGTAAGTCGGGTCCGGCTCGATAGCACATAACAACAACAACAACTCCAGTGTGGAAGATGAGAATTCTACCACTGAAATCCCTCCCACCTTCCACCCTAAATTACCTGTAAATCTACTTGTTTTGATACAATTAAAGTAGGATTCATTAAAATAAGTTTTTTTTTTCCATTAAAAATAAATTAAAAATGAAAAACTAGTGAAAGTATCCCTAAGCTCTGCTGTGTTGCCTCTGGATGCTTTATGCTTTGTGTATAGTGTGCAGTACAGGACCATCTGATGGGTGTGATGAATGAGGGTGCCAATGTCATATTGTGAACATGAACTTTGTCATGATTGTAGGGGGAAAAGTTCTACTACTTGCCTTCTACTGTTGTGAATTATTTTGTATATCCCTTGAAGTACTCTCACTGTACTTGGGTGTCCATTACCCTAAGTTTACACTTTTTCCTTTGTATGTATTTAAAGTGCTTTAATGAAAAGTACTAGTTAGATGTTACAATATTTAAATATTATAAAATATTTTTACATTAAGTTGGACTTATATTCCTGGATAATCCTGATACATCACGTTTTACCTTGTGTTCCTTTTCTAGGAGTTCCACTATAAAAAGTATTAGCAATAATAATCCCTTTTGCTATACATATGTTCTAGTATTGTAAAAGTTTTGGTCAGGACTCTCTCGATGCAAAAAGGACATGGAGGTGGCGCCTTCTGACCTCCTCCAACTTCGCAAGGGGAAGGCAGAATCACCAGTAGCAGCCCAAGGCTTATTCCTATAAGACCAGACATGCCGTCATCCTCCAGCCTTTTACCAGTTCTGACACCACCTGTCCCTCCCATGGCACTCACTGGGTTCAAGAATTCATTGCAGTGGCCATACAGAACTCACAGACGATGCTCAGATTATGGGGCTTATTAGGGAAGTAACGGGCTATAGTTCAGGCTCAGAAACACACTCAGAATATAGTTCTTCAATGAGGACAGTCTCTTCTCTGCTGTACCCTCCCTCAGGCACGCCTCTCTGACCTTTGACCTCTCAGCCTGACCTCTGCCTGCTTGGGCAAGTGTTAGAAAGCTCTTGTAGCTCTGCTGATAGGAGCACCTGGGTACATCTCACTCTGTCAGTAAGCCTCCTACCCATGAGCACTCAGCTTTCTTGATCTGTGGGCCAGGGAAACTCACCACTCTGTCTTGTGCCTCTTGGTTCCACTGCAACTGTCTCTGCTGGACGTCTCTGCCAAGGAGGTCCAGTGCAGGGATCTCAGGTCTAAGAACACACTCTGATTCACCCTTAGCTCTTGTTTCTTTATGGCAGTGAGATCCCTTCTCGCCTCTAAGAGGACTCATTTTAGGCCTGGCAAAATGACAAAACTAACCAGTCCCTACATCAGAGTTCTATACACCTTATTTGTGTGGTGTTCTACCCAGTAATTCCGTGTGAGTTACAAAGACTATGACTAGAAAAGCTGTGCCAAGTAATTCACCGCACTGCACTTGATACAGATATGAAAATAATGTTTGTTTTGGATAGTGTCCTAGTTTCTTAGTGCTGCTATAACAGTAGAATTACCATAAGTGGTTTTAACAAACAGATTTGTTTTCTCACAATTTGGGAGGTTGGAAGTCTGAATTCAGAACCCTGGCTCTAGGAGAAGGCTTTCTCTCTCTGTCAGCTCTAAAGAAGTCATTAGCTTCTGTTCCTCAGTTCCCTGGAGTACATCTTCCCCTGTGTTTGTGCTTCCTTCTGTGTTCCTAAAGGAACTCCGGTAGTGGCGTGGTTAAAGCATTCAGCTGCTAGCCAAAAGGTTGGCGGTATGATCTCATCAGCTGCTCTGAGGGAGAAAGATGAGACAGCCTGCTTCTGGAAAGATTTACAGCCTTGGAAACCCTATAGGGCCGTTCTCCTGTATAGACCGGGAGCTCTGGTAGCGTAGTGCCTAAGGCACTTGACTGCTAACCAGAAGCCTGGCAGTTCAAACCCACCAGCCACTTCTCGGAAGGAAGATGGGGCAATCTGCTTCCGTAGTGATACTGCCTTGGAAACCCAAGGAGAGGTCGCTATGAGTCGGGTCTGACTCGATGGCACATAACAATAACAACAACAATTGTATAGACCTATTGGGTTGCTATGAGTCAGAATTGACTCAATGGCATTAGCTTGATTTGGTTTTTCTCTGTGCCTAATCTGCTCTCAACAGTGATTGGCTTATGACATATCCTACACTGATAATGTTTCATTAACATAACAAAGTCCTCTTTCCAAATGGTATGG